TCCCTTAAAATTAATTTATAAACAAATAATCTTGCACAGTAGAAGGATAAATTGTATATTTTGGGGTTCTAAAAGGAGCATGGCAACTGTGGATAGGAAATTTGAGGGGGGTTAAAATGATGTTTTAGTTCACATGAGTTTTAACACGTCCCCTTCGCTAACAAAATATGAAACTATTTTCTTAAAACCTCCTAACTCCTTTGTTGGCTCTTCTGCTTTGTGCTGGCATTCCATTTTAAATTAAATTTCTTAAATGGGAAAGGGGAATCACATAGCTCCCAAAGAAAATTAAAAAACGTAATTCAGGATTGCACAGAACATTTTAGACTGAATCAAAGCAGTTTCATTACTCTTAATTCCTTTGCATGAACAGCTTTTCCTTGTGGATTACTGAGGAATGCCACAGTCCTGCTAAATCTGAGGCAGTGCAATAACCCACAAGAGATGAAAAATCATATTTTGAGCATTAGGCAAAGCCCAGGTTGATTCACAGATCTGTATTTGTGTTAAAATTTGATTTGGCACTGCCAACACTTTCTAGGCAAATTGTCTTTAAAGCAAATGATCAAAAATGAAATTTAAAACTACTGCTTTAATTTGTTTTGATGAGAAGTGGGGCCTGAATCTGTTCATCCAGAGCAGCTGTTGAGAAGTAAATAAAATAGAAAAGAAGAAGACAGGAAACCCAAAAGTGAAGGAGAAGAAGCAAAGATAGGAAATTAAAGACACTGCAATAGAATTAAAGAGGCAGGGGCTGGACAGGACAAACTCCAGGAGAATTTACGTTGAAAAAGTAGGGGAATAAAATAATTAGGGCCAAATTCCTGTGTTGAAGATGAAAATGTCCTGGCAACCCGTCAGTGTCCACCTGGACACACAAGCCCACACCCAGCCCCATGTCCTGGCAGCTCCATCAATGTCCCACCTGGATACACAACACCACACCCAGCCCCATGTCCTGGCACCCCCTCAGTGTCCCAAAATCCCACACTGAGCTCTATGTCCTGGCAGTCCCCTCAGTGTCCAAAATCTCACATCCAACCCCATGTCCTGACAATCCCCTCAGTGTCCCAAAATCCCACACCGAGCTCCATGTCCTGGCA